TCTCTCATCAATGTTTCTAACTCTCTATCCCTCTCCCTGCCTCTCTGTAAAAAATCAATAAAATATATTTTTTTAAAAAGAATATAAGTACGCAAATATATCTTAGAGATCCTGTTTTTAATTCCTTTATATATACCCAGAAGTGAAATTGGTGGATATATGGTATTTCAATTTTTAATTTTTTGAAAAAACATTATGCTGTTTTTCATAGTGGCTACACCACTTTACAATCCCATCAACAGTGCACAAGGGTTTGAATTTCTTTACATCCTCACCAACACTTGTTATTTTCTGTGTTTGTTTTTTTTTTCATAGTAGCCATCCTAATGGGTATGAGATAATATCTATTGTGGCTTTGATTTGCATTTCTCTGATGGTGTTGAGCATCTTTTCATATGCTTGTTGATCATTTGTATATCTTCTTTAGAGAAATGTCTATTTAAGCCTTTGCCCATTTTTTAATTTGGTTCTTTGATTTTTTGTTATTGAGTTGTAGGCATTCTTAAATAGTCTGAATATTAACCCCTTATCAGATATATAACTTGCAAATATTTTCTTCCATTTTTTAAGGTACCTTTTACTCTGTTGATTATATCACTTGAACAAAATTTTTCAGTTTGATGAAAGTTAAGCAATTTTAATAATAGCAAATAACCAAGACCTATACATTGGTGTGCACTCATAGCATTCATTATACTTCCAATGGCTATGCCACAAAGGAAAGGATTGGCTGATAGCATTAACTTGTTATGGGCCATCTTTTAAAAACTTTAATGGTAGCCCTATCGGTTTGGCTCACTGGATAGAGCGTTGGCCTGGGGACTGAAGGGTCCCAGGTTCGATTCCGGTCAGGGGCATGTACCTTGGTTTCGGGCACATCCTCAGTAGGGGGTGTGCAGGAGGCAGCTGATCGGTGCTTCTCTCTCATCGATGTTTCTAGCTCTCTATCCCTCTCCCTTCCTCTCTGTAAAAAAGCAATAAAATATATTTTAAAAAAAACTTTAATTGTTACCTTTTTTGGGGGGGAAGGAGATGATAAATGTTTTAGAAATAAACTTAGTTTCTATTCTTCCTCATACTATAACTCGCATCCTCCCTTGCTTATACCTAAAGTAGAATTGTTTTAAGTTTTGCTCACTTGGAATCTTCCATCCCTGTGGGATGAGGGAAGGAGACGGCCAAGGATCCAGCTGGCAGGGATCTCACTAGATGGCAGAGTGAGTCCCGGAATCACCCATCAAACTGCCATCTCTGCGCTGGAACTCAACAACTGGAATAGTTTCACTGAATTGTATTATTAGCAAAAACCAACTGCTTTTGGATCAGTTTCGCCTTATTTTTGGCTTTTCTTGTTTAGTTTACCTGTGCCTGAAGCAAGTTGTGTTCCACATTAGACTTTTATGCCCCCAACAGTAGAGCACAGATGCTATTTGGCGTTTACATTTATGATTAATTACTTGGTGGCTCCTCCCTAAATGGTGGAGAAGTAGCAAGTGCAAGTTTACACTGTGGTAGTTGGTTCACCTCCTATGGAGCAAAAGAGCCCGGTGGGGTTTCCTGATCTCAGCTTTTTTGTTCTCCAGATGAGAAAAGTTTCCAAACTCTGCCTTTTCTTTGTTTTCTTTTATTAAAGCAATAGTAACAATAACAAAAATACCTCAGAAAACTAAAGTTTCCTTCTATATAATTGTGGTGTTTTCTCAAAAGCCTTTGCCTTAAAAACAATAGAATGAAATCTCTTAGTCCAGTCACCTGAAGAGGACCTTTCCTTACGTATTTAGACGTCAGGATTCCCGTGACTGACTTGATTTGCATTACGTTTCTGGGGTTCAGGAATGCAGAGTCTCCAGAACTGGTTCAGAAATGGGTCCAGACACATTCAGTTTAGCTGAGTCATCACACAGATTCCTAGGGAGGGGGCTCCATCTCCTGGAGCATTACTTCTGCTTGGAACAATTTATTTATTTTTAATTATTTTTTTAAATCCTCACCTGAGGATATTTTTCCATTGATTTTTAGAGAGAGTGGAAAAGAGAGGGAGAGACAGAGAGAAATATAGATGTGAGAGAAACACATTGATTGGTTGCCTCCTGCAGGCGTCCCAACCAGAGTCTGGGCCAGGGAGGAGCCTGCAACCAAAGTACGTGCCCTAGACTGAAATTGAACTCAGGACCCTTCGGTCTGCAGGCCAATGCTCTATTCTTTGAGCCAAACTGGCTAGTGCTGAACAATTTATTTTTTGATTGACAACTGTGGGAAACATTTCTACTTTGGAACTTGGTTGTCAAATCCCAGGACTTGACTGGCCATCCATTCTCAACCCTGTTGTGAGCCTGGTAACTCACACCGCTATACAGTGGAGGCAGAAACACAACATCCTAAACACAGTGCACAGTGTCCAATAAATCCAGAATGTGAAGGAGACCGAGGCCACGCTGAAGTCCAGCGGTACCTTTGGTGGCCTTAGCATGGCATGGCGTTGAAGCAGAGGTGCCATATGGATCTTGGTCTTAGGAACAGAGGTTGGCTTTTTGAATTGTGATTCCATTTTCACAAACTGCTGAGAGTTTCTTTCTGTTCACGATAGTGTTACAAATTGATGTGACTTTTTGATTTTTTTTCCTCAGGCTATAAAATTGGTATTAAAAATTTATTGAGGCCTGATGTGAGAGACTTCTGGGAGAAATTAGGAAGCTTCGTGGCCCCTAAAGAAGAAGGGGGTCACGTGGACCTCTTTGTACCACTGGGAGCATCCGGTCAGTTTTGAAAGGTCGTGGTCATGCCTACTTTATGATGATATTTGTGACATACCCTCAGGTCAAATGATTCTGTCACACTTACTCTTTATTTCTTTTTTGCTTTATATATCATATACTTGGGGATTTAGGGGAAATGGGCATTGGGGTTAGTAGTCAGAGTAACTTGTTCCTGTAGAAATAAAGCCACTAGTGACAAGAGCCAGCCAGGAACATTATTTCTATTTCTTCTGGAAAACACAGTAAAATCAGCCTGCACAACACAGAGGAAAGGGCTGACCAGCACGGGGATCTGAGAAAGCTTTCCCTGCTGTTTCTGAACCCGGGATGCGTGAGCCTGAACTTGGTGACAAGGACCTGGACTGGAACCCCACTCAGGCCACTTCAGCTGTGTGGCCTTAGGCAAGTTTGTGAACCTCCATTTCCTCCTATGAGTGTTAGGGTAGTAGCACCTTACCTTATAGGACTTGTGAATACCCAAATAACAAAAACTTCAATTACACAAATACATAATAATATAAATACCTAATATTAGAACACTAGAAACAGTGAAGTGCTTTGTGAAGGTGAGCATGGTTGCTGATATAAGTTTAAGTGCGTACTTATCTAGTATCAAAGTTGATTTCAGTACTTGAAGGGAAATTTTGAAACATTAAATCAAATTCACTTTTAGGTTATCTGTTAAATAAAAGCTCTGCATTCATGGGCACTGGGTTTGTTCCTTTGTTTGTTTGTTTACTAAGCAGAACAGGGGAGAGGGAGTGTGAAATTAAATTTTCTCATACTGTTTCTTATTACCCATTCTTTAGAGAATTGTGTGTTTTTGAAGTTCTTAATTTTCAAGTTTCACTGTCACGCTTCAACCAGGGGAAAGGATAAAAATCAAAGGAGGTGAAGGGGTTTAAAAGAAAATGAAATACAAGTTATTGTACAAAATTTTTTTACAGTTATTACAATTATATAATCTCAACTATGCATAGAATAATCTATGCAGAAATATAGCAAAATATTAACGGAATCTATACATTTTCTTTTATTTGCCTCTATTTTCTGTAATAAACTAGTATTACCTTCTTTTATAATGAGAACAAAGCCAATTTTCTTGTTGCAGTAGAAGGAGAAAAAAAGGATGCAGGAAAGTATAATATTGAAAGGCAGACAACAAAGGCAAAAGAGGAAAAGAACAATAGTTTTGTGACATAAAAACTGTCTCAAGTGAAATTTAATGGCACTCAAACACTAGATTTTCCACCACTATTCTGGGCCCTAAAGCCATCCCTAAACTTCTTGTCAAATGTAATTTCCACTTGGATGAACCCTTAAGACCAGTGGTTCTCAACCTTGGCTGCACATTAGAATTACCTGGGAATCTTTTATAAATCTTAAAAAAATCCTGATTGGGCCTCATCCTCCGGAAATTGTTTCTTTGGTATGGGGTGGGGCCACAACATTAGTAACAAAGAAACAGAATTTCCGGAGGATGAGGCCCAGAAATCAGGATTTAAAAAAGATCCCCAGGTGATTCTAATGTGCAGCCAAGGTTGAGAACCACTGCTTAAGACCCTGGTTCAGTCAGAAGACCCTGGCTTCTCAGCCCAAAAACCTCTTTCCCACCACCTCAGGCAACACTCTTGAGCTTGTCATCCCTGGTAGCTGTGTCACCTGTGATATCTTGGATTTCAAGCATATGTCTCTCTGAGTCCCACTTCCAAGTCATGTACCAAGTATTCCCACTCTTTATCGATTTTTTGCCTGAAGACCTCCAATCCATACTCCCACATTTTCAGTCTCCATCACTATGCTTCTGTGCTTGGTTTCTTCCTTGTTAAACTTGGATTTAATGGTTTATTATTACAGTACTCTCTTGCAAAGACTCTGAACCTCTTTGTCTTTTTCCTGGCGAAATCCCCACCATTTGGCTAAATCCCAGTGCTGGTTAAAACACAGCCATCTGCAAAATCTATGCCTGCCTGCACGGAGACAGCTGAAGACTGTTGGAAAAAGGAACACACCTGTTTGTATAGATCTAACGTTATTTAATGGCATAAATATCAAATGGGATTGCTGCACTGATAAGCAATCCTACCACATTTCCTGGTAAATTCATTCTTCTACTCTTTGAGATGACTATTTATTACATCCCTTCTCCTCCCTAGTCAAGCTTTCCAACAACGCTCTCTCAGCTGTTGACCTCACCTTCGACTTCCCTAAGAAAGCGCCCTAATTTCCCTCCCAACACCAAATCCACCACCTACTTCCCTCTTACCTTCATTCTCTGTCTTCCCTTCTGTTGACGAAGGAAGAAGCACCCCTGTTCATATCAAAGTTTGACTACTCCACTTAGACTCTGTATCCCACCGCCTTTCACCTTCTGACTTCACTTCCATGCTTCAATCTTCTTGTGTAGCCTCAATCCTCTGTCTTTATTGGATCATTCATATCAAATCAGGAACACCTGTAGTAGCTCTGTCCTTAAAAAAAGGAAGGAGAGATCATTAACTTTTCCTCACCACGTTTTGAATCGACTATACCAGTGGTTCTCACACTTTAGTGTGTTTTTTAACCATTTAAAGGTCTTGTTAAAATACACATTGCTGGGCCCCACCCTAGTGTGTCTGATTCAGTAAGTCTGGGATGGGGCCTGAGAATTTTCATTTCTAACACGTTCCCAAGATGCTGCTGCTGCTGCTGCTGATCCAAGGGCCACACTTTGAGAACCATTGTTCTATGCTGACTGCCTCTACCTTCCTCACCTGTCATTCGCTCCTCAAGCTCCTACAAGTCGTCTATCTCTACTGAAATTGCTTTCGAAAGAAAATAAACAACTTCCACGTGCCCAAATCCAGTGGTCCCTTCTCCATCCTCACTTTGCTTTGACTTCTCAGCAGCACTTGATGCAGATGGACACTCCTGAAACTCTCCTTCTTCTCTTGATTTCCCTAATACCACGCTCTCCTTGTTGTCCCCCTGCCTCAGCCGCAGCTTCTCATTCTCCTCTGTTGGCTTCTCCTCCTCAGCAAGACCTTTAAATGTGCCCAGGGCTAGATCTGGGCTCTCCTTTTCCATGACTACACCTGTTTCCTAGGCAGTCTCATCTATTCCTAAGACTCTGAATTCAGTATATATGCTGGACACTCCCAAATTTATGCTTCCAGCTCTGATATCTCTGAGCTGCAGACTCATATCTAGCTCCCACTTGACATCTTCATAGTGTGCATTTCTGCTAGCTTCTAAAGTTAACACAAACTCCTGGTTGCCTCTTCAGCACCAGACCTCCTCCTCCCCAGGATTCCTCAGTTAAGATGTTGTCACTCTCCCAGTTACTTCATAAGCCAAACACCTAAAATTCATCTTTTGGGAGCATTGTTAAAATTTTAAAACAGCTTTATTAAGGTATAATTGACATACAATATTTAAATGTACAATTAGATAAATTTTGACATGTGTAATATACCCTGTAAAACCATAAAGCAATAAAGATAATGAGCATACTTCAATCTACACAGGTTACTGAAGGAGTGAAATTAATGCCATGCTAAACTTTGACCATTGTATCCATTCTGTGTTTAACAGTTTTAAATCTGCCCCTTTACAATGATACTTCTCCCTGGTGTCACGCTATTTTAAAAAATACATGCAGGCTTTCTGTCTGTGGCCTGAGTATTCCAGATTGAAAATAAGCCCCAGGTCAGACCTCATGCCCTCTTTTCCACCCTGTTGTGCAGTCCTCAGAAATGAAGTGTTTGGACTTCAGCTCTCAGGGGTGAACTGTGACATGCTGATAAACTATTCCACGAGGGATCTGAATTGAGAACAAGAACTGCTATGGCTTTTCCTGGCCAGCTCATTAGTGCTCTTCAGTAACACTTAACTGTTCCCTGGCAAAACCTGTGAGTAAACTAATGAAAGTGTTTTTGTGCAGAGGCAGGAATAGAAGTTCTTTCCCAGCTGTCTCAACTAACCGGCACGCTCTTCACTGCCCCCGCTGGGATTGCAACTGGCTCTTACCAACACAGTAAGTGTATATGGGGCTGACCATCGTGCCCACGCACTAACTCGGGGATCACCAAAGATGAAGCACCGCTGAAGGATACTGGTTCTGGCTGACGCCAGCAACTGTCTTGCATTCCTTCTCTGAAACTGTCATTTCCCAGCACTCAGTCATTTGCTTAGAAGGGGATTATTTTTTGCAAATATTTGCTTCAAGCCATCATTTGTAAAACTCAGTTGAAAACATCATCTTTAACAGTTAAACAAACATGTTTAGTTGCTGATCTAGAGAAATAATAAGTACAAAGAATAGTTTTTTAGTAAATATAATTAATATGGTTTCATTTGGATAAATGAACAAAGAGACGATTAAGAAGAGGCTTGCTCAGGTTCCATTGGTGTTACATTATCTGAGAGGAAAAACAGTCAATGATATTATACACACAAAAATGTGTGTGTAATATCCCTTTAGATATGAAAGCTGAAGATATTGGATCAAAACATAACATTGGCTGACCAACAGGAGAACCAAATTTCTTTGTTTGCTCATCATTCTCCCCTTTAAAACTCCCAGCCTCTTATCAAAGAAGGTTTGGGGTGATGCAGAAACTATATATAAAGCATTTGTTCTCTGGTCTCAAATGCCAGGGGCCTTTGAAGACGGGAAAGCTGCCATGATTGGGGAACTTGTACGGGAAATGATGTAACAGAGAGCACATTGACTTAATAGAGTTTTGTAACAGAAGTCACTTGTTAGCTGTAGTTTATATTATGATAACATATTTGGCCCCGTGGAGAGAGGAATCCCCCTAGCAGAGCAGAGCAGGGTGCAGACACTGTCGTTTACAGAACAAGTTTTCTTCTTTTCTGCTCCTCTGTCTCCTTTTCCTCCTGTTCATCCTCTTTCCCCTACTCTTCCTATTCCCGTCTAGAAGAACTGTTATATAGATTTTTCACATGTTTAGCAATAAACATAATGGGAGGAGAGTCAAACAAGTCTATTCAGGAAAGAAAATCAAATTTAACACGGCACTGTGTCTTTCAGTAACTGGTTTTCAAGGAGAGAAACTTGCATAAGCACCCACTAGAGTCGTGTAGAGAGATAAATAGAGAGATACCAGCTTGTAAGAAAGATACAGGGTTGGCTATGACACGGAGGACTTTGGATGGCATGATGGGGAAGCCAGGCAGAGTGGATTTCCCTGTATTTTCATTTTGAGGATATAAATATAAAACAGTATATTCTTATTCAGATGCCTACTTCACTTCTTGATGCACAAATCCAGCAGCTATTTAATTTTTAATGTCAAACATAATGACAACCTTATCTATCAAAGAATAGATAGGCATTTGCTATTATTCATTGTAGTCTTTTTGAGTTTCTAATTTTATCTCTGAAAGCAGACTATCTTAGTTTTGTAATGAGAAAGGATAATAAGCTTGATATAAATACAGTTATAAACAAGAAGTAGAATTGTTTCACCCAAGCTTATGTCTGCAATAATAAAAGGAGAAAATAATGTCAGTTCTTAGTGACTGGCTGGGACAACAGCAGGAAAGGGCGCCCCCCTCCATCTACTTCAGCGAATCAAAGCTGCAGACGTGGTCCAGCCTCATGGACTTCCTGGAAGACACCTTGATATCAGTGCGGAAACAGTTCAGACCTCTCTTCAAGGAGTTGCAGAAGAACGCCAGTGGCAGGATAATAGGTGAGAGCTCTTGCTACTCCTGTTGCAGATGTTTAGTTGACTCCTAAACATCTTCAGTACTACTTTATTCCGTTTGTTTTTCATATCTTCCTTCAAATATAACAAATATACACTAAGAATAAATATTAAATATTATTTACTAAGTATTAAATAGTATTAAATAAACATTAAGTATTATTTAACAAACATTAAATATTCTTTAATAAACATTAATAAACATTAAACCTTACTTAATAAATATTAAATATAAAGATGAATAGTTATAGTCATCTTCAAAATGCTGAAGCTAGTTCCTGGTTTCAGATTTTACCATCTTAATCCTGTGTCAGTCAATTATTTACCTAGACAAAATTTGCTATTTGCTCAGCCATCGAACTCTGTCCTTTCCTCATTGCAATTTGCTCTCAAAGCTAAGCAACTCTTAAACCATAGCACCCATTACTTAAATTGTTCTGCAATTGTGTTCTATTTATTTTTTACTTAAAATATATAACTGGGTGATGGATTCCATGGCCTTCTGTGGAACCTGTTGGGCATTATTGAACCTCTCATTTATGTCCCATATCCATGATCAAATTATCACAATAGAGGCTTTTGGAAACAATGTCCTATGTCAACTGGATCTTCACCTAAATCAGCGGTTCTCAACCTGTGGGTCGTGACCCCTTTGGCGGTCGAATGACCCTTTCACAGGGGTCACCTAAGACCATCCTGCATATCAGATATTTACATTACGATTCATAACACTAGCAACATTACAGTTATGAAGTAGAAATGAAAATAATTTTATGGTTGGGTCACAACATGAGGAACTGTATTTAAAGGCCAGAAGGTTGAGAACCACTGACCTAAATCAATACATTCTTTAAATAACTTTTTTAAAAAAAAATTTTCTTATTGATTTCAGAGAGGAAGGGAGAGGGAGAGAGAGAAACATCAATGATGAGAATCATGTATTGGCTGCTTCCTGCACACCCCCTACGAGGGGATCAAGCCCACAACCTGGGCATGTGCCCTGACCGGGAATTGAACCGTGATCTCCTGGTTCATAGGTCGATGCTCAACCACTGAGAAACACCGGCCGGGCAAAATCATTCCATTGTCAAAAGTACTTTTTTATCATATGGGTAAATGAATTTTCTCTCCATCTTTACCTATTCGGCTTTCCCTAACTCTTCCCATCTAACTAAATAAAACACCCTATAAATCAAGTCTTTAGATATCTATATCCTTATTTTCTTCCTTCCCTTCCCTAGCACTCCTTCTTATTTAACATCTATTTATACAGTTACTGTCTATGCAAGAGCAGGAAACACAAGTAAGTATGCAGATATTTTCTGTCAATATATAACATATTGTCAGTATATATCTTTACATAAATGCCTCTAAAACAGGGATTTGTCTTCTTGGTTTTAACTCTACCACATTTAGTAGATGTTCAACCAGTATTTTCAAATAGTTATTAGATAATAAATAGGGAGAAATTATTTTTCCTGGTATTTCCTTGATATAAAAACTATACATAAAAGTAGAAAGATGATCTCTTTAAAGATAGAAGTATTTCTTGATGATATATGTAAGCATAAGAAGTAGAATAGAAGATAATTCTTTTCATATAAATTCAAGTTGTCTAAAACATTTTTAAATGTAAAAGGTATCTGTGTATGTATGTTAGTATATTATTTTCTGTGTGCTTGAAATCTTTATGTATTTGAGTGCAAAGATAAAGGGGAGTGTGGAGGAATCTTTGGTGGGATTGCGATTCTACAATTTAAACTTATTCCTGGCTGGTGTAGCTCAGTGGTTGAGTGTTGACTTATGAATCAGGAGGACACAGTTCAATTTCAGGTCAGGGCACATGCCTGGGTTGCAGGCTTGTTCCCCAGTGGGGCGCCCTTGGAAGGCAGGCAATCAATGATTCTCTCTCACATTGATGTTTTTATCTCTTTCTTCCTCTTCCTTTCTCTCTGAAATCAATAAAAAAATTTTTTAAACTTAAAAGTTTCATTTTCATGTGTTCTGTCCTTACTGTTCAATTTATAGATTTTATTCAAGATCAGCTTTGTCAGGGTGGGCACTTTTTATAAGCTGCACATTTAGTTGCTATTACTTGTTTTATATTTTATCATGGAAGATAATCCTCATGGTATAATAGAATTTTAATTTTTATTCTTTGCATTTTTATCCACTAAAAAGCAACTGTGAGGACTGAGCTGTGTTCTTCTTGATCACATCTCTTACATAAATTAATTACAGTGCATATGGCTTTATATTTACAGGACAGTTTATGTCTGACACCATGAGTGTGACTAACATTCTGAATAACCAAGAAATTGCACAAGCTCTGGCAGATGGATTGGCAGCACTTTCAAAAGAAAATCCTGTAAGTATTTTTTTTAAAGAAAGCACACTACAAAAACCCTAACACTTAAATAAATTTGTAGTTTGTGTTTATTTATTGTTTAATTTGTATATCCATCCAGGGGCGCAATTCCTTAGAGAAATTACATCCGTTTGTAAAAAGAGCTACTGAGAGATTCTGGGCCCAAGATCTATTAGGTACACAAAATAGGCAAATAGTAAAATCTAGGTTATTTAAAAGTTGACTCCGTGGTGCACTGTTATCTGTCTTGTGATTAATTTCAGTCAGAAGTGACTTATTTAAACACACGAGTGGCTTTATATTTCACATAAACATTATTCAATAGTTAAATTAAGCGTATGAAAGGGTAAAAAGGGTAGATGAGAAGAAGGAAAGCGAACACAAAAGAACAGATCTTCCGAGCAACTGGAAAGTGCAGTAAGCAGCCTGGCTGGGGAAGTGGAGAACAGGATGGGGACTAGGGATGACATTAACACACCGGATGCTCCTTCAATATATAACATATTGTCAGGTCTTTAGTTTTCAAAGGAGAGATTCTCAAATCCTTCTCTTCCACTGAGGTAATTCAACTTTGTGGGTAGACTTAACGTTGTCTTTGCATATGTTTTCCTTATCTCTCATGTGTGTTTTGGTTTCACCTTGGCTTCCTGGGTAGCCACCAGGTGTCCCCAGGGTTAGCTGTCCAGTGTGGAGTCCAAGAGGCTGCAGGTGGCCATGATTTGCCTCTGCATTCTCAGCTGCCAACACTAGCCAACCCAGGGGCAGCCCAGTGCTGAAGGCCCTGGTGAGCTTTGCCGATAAAATGATCAGGGAAATTCACAGGGATAACCCCGAGACTTTGAGAGATCCTGCACTGTCTCCCGAAATATCAACGATTTACTAAATGCGTTTGGTGTAGGTTCAGTGTACTTACTGCCACCTCATTATTTAAAAGTAACCTGGTATGATATACTTTCGATGGTGCTCAAACTATAGCCTGAGAGGGAACCAAATTTGAGTGTTTTTCCCAGTAATTCAGCTGCTGTAGCCCCTCTCTCAAGCCTTCTTTCTCCTGAAAGACAAGATCCCCCCTGTCCCCTTCCTCATCTGGCCAAGAGGCCGGTAGGGGCCACTTTGGTTCTGACGATATTGAGACCCATACCATGAGGCCTTGGCAACCGAATTGAATGGTGACAGTCGGTTGAGAACCAACAGTATACATGGTAATTGGAATATGTGATGAAGTCAGAAGTCCCATTTACTGACTCTACGTGAACAGTCATTACTTTGTTTTCTGAACTTATACATTAAAAAAACTGAAAACTCTACCAGAAAAAAATCTGTCCTCTTTTCTACTGCACTTTTGTTGACCTATATTTCCAATGAATGCTTTAAATATGAATTTTTGGGGTTGGGGGTGTGGATTTTTCAGGACAAACCTCTGGAATTTTTGTCATATTTTCTGTTGAAGAAATGTAGTGAAAAGAGCAAAGATTTGGAAGAAAATGTTATTCTGACAAAATCTGACCCAAAGGCAACATTCAATTTATACATGAAGGTAAAGTTATTGCTGCATTTTTATGCCATTGCTTCGCTGTAGAGTTAGACACATGTGCTTGAGAAATTCATAGACAATAATGATAATTATTGTCTTCCAACTGGTCATTTCCTCTAAGAACTTTATTTTCTTGAAAAGGTATTTGTAGGATCATGAGTGACATTAAAGCCACTTACAAGCATCAGCTGCACCACATTGACTAGAACAGTGGTCGGCAAACTGCGGCTTGCGAGCCACATGTGGCTCTTTGGCCCCTTGAGTATGGCTCTTCCACAAAATACGTGCGGGCTCGCATGTACAGTGTGATTGAAACTTCGTGGCCCATGCGAAGAAGTCGGTATTTTGTGGAAGAGCCACACTCAAGGGGCCCAAGAGCCGCCTGTGGCTCGCGAGCCGCAGTTTACCAACCACTGGACTAGAATATACTCTGGGTCATGGAGGAAAAGTCGGACATTTGCATTTTGCCTCTTTTTCAGTTGAGTCCCGAGATAACATAAAGTTGTTTTGTTTTTGTTTTTCATTTGCAGCCCAGGACAGTTTGTGTGTGTGTGTGTGTGTGTGTGTGTGTGTGTGTGAGAAACTAAGAATTATTTTTCTTTTCTTAGTTGAGATTCAATTTCATAACAGAAAAGTGGGTTTGAAGCTAGTACTTCTGGCAAAAAGTAATCATTCCGCCAGTACTGTATTCAGAACCCATACTTTCTTAAGTGAAATAATCAGGATTCAGAAAACACGGAAAATTGCATTGTCAGAGAGCCGATTTCTATAAAAATGTCATTTTAGAACCATTTTATGCCCATAGAAAATCATCTACCTGTCTTGCATGATCACAGGCTTGGGTACCAGCCCCAACACACCCCCCCTCCCCCCATGGAGCCTGGTAATGGGTGTAGACTTCTGGCATCTTAATAAAAGTCAGGTACCCTGTGTGCCTTTGACTGCCAGGAGCAGAGCTGAGGCAGAGGCCTACCTGGACCACGTGGGACCCCCTGCCTGTGAGGAGCTTCTGAGCAGCAGTCTCACTCCCCCAGCTCCCGGGGAAAAGGGAGCTGCCCAGAATTTACTTTCTCAAGCGTAATGCAGTGCAAAGGAAGCTAAAGGGTTTTTTATTCTTCACATAACATTTGCTTTAAGAGAGGCATCGATTTTGTCTGGTGCTGGTTCACTGACGCAGAACACCGTAGTTAGGGCTGAAGGCAGGGCCACAGAGCCTCCTGTGGGCACAGCACCAACTCCGTGTAATCAAATCTGCATTGAATCCTCAGGAAAGAAATGTTCTGGAAGACAATCCTCAGGACACAAAACCAAATCTTGGCAAAAATGATCCAAATGTTGAGGTGCTGGTTCAGCTGGTAAGCCAATTATTACGTAATAAAAATTTTCCACTTGTTTTTCTCCTGAGGCGCCCCCCGCCCCCCAAAAAAACCCAAACAAACCCCTACAACAACAACACCCAACCACTTTCGCCTTTATTCTGGTTAGTTCTTTTTTTTCTTGAAAGTTTCAAGAACAAAGTAAAAATATTTAAAGGGAGGAAAAACTCCCAAATGTAATTGGGGGAATCCAGTCAGTAGCTTTTTCTTTTCTTTTATTTGTTTGTTTGTTAGTGAGAGAGAAACGTTGATGTGAGAGATACACATTGATTGGTTGCCTCCCACACAGGTCCCAGGACTGGGGAACGAGCCTGCAACTGAGGTATGTGCCCTTGACCGGAATCGAACCTGGGACCCTTCAGTCCCTGGGCCAATGCTCTATCCATTGAGCCAAACCAGTTAGGGCAGTAGCTTTTTCTTTTGAATATTTCCTGGTCTGAAATGAAGTTGAGTTGAGGAGATGGAGGTATCACATCTTGGGAGCAAAAGCCACCTCTGCTACTCCATGCTTTTCTAACTAACATGACACGAGGACGGCAGTTAAAGGAACGGTGCAGGCACAAAGTTTTACAGTCTATCCGATCCACCAATTCACGGTCTGACTTCAAACGCTGAGTAGAACCAGTATAGCGTTTAGGGCTCCGTCTCTCAGGCTAGAACGGTAGGGCTCAGTACAGCAGAGCCTTGGTCCGTCCTGCCCCAGTACACAGCTGTGCGTGCTGTTTTGCTTTTCTTCAACACATATCCACATTTATCATCATATTTCATTCTCGAGATCCTCTAACATAGATATTAGTAACCACATTTTTGTAGATGAGGAACTGAAGTTAGAAGACTTAAATGACTCCTCTAAGGTTAAATAATTGGCAGACATTTGCCAACCATATCCCAAGGACAGAGGAAGAGAATAAACCTCATTTTGGTACATGAGCATAAAGCTGCTGAATATTCTATTAAGATCCTCCCCTAAATACCCAGCCTTTAAAACCTTCCAAAACAAAGGTCCCTGCGCATGCTCTCCCTCCCAGGATCACACCCACGTCCCCCTGCCCCCCAACCTTCTTTCCCCACAGGCACGCATCTCCTAAACTCTCAGGGACCCCTGAGGCTTGCAACCAGGACAGCAAAGGGAAGCAGCATTTCATCCCGGGAAACCCCCTGAGCCTGTCCCCAAGGCCCCTTTCCCTCTGACTTCTTTGTGGCCAAAGCAGCCCAGCTGAGGCACCTTTCTCCGGCCCTTTCTGGTTGCACTGTCCCCAGCTTTAACAAACGTCCTCTAAAATTAAAAAACAACAACAGCTGGCAGGAAGAAACTTGAATCCCATGGCCCTGACCTCAGCCCCGAGGCTGTTTTTCAGCCGACAACACCTGGGTGGGTACACCTACTGCAGTGCAGACCAGCCCTCACTGGCTGGGTGTCAGAGAGTATGACTGGGAAATAAATACCTGACAACAGTCTTAAGACAACAAAAAGTTTGATAACTGAAACCTTAAGTCAAAATCATTATAAATGTTGGATGGCCCCAATGAATAAAAAATATGCAAATACACATAAAAATATAATATGGGCTGCAAGCCAATCCTCAAGTTGGAAGCAGTTGTATTTTTTAAACTCATTAGATATATCTAAATAGGCATTATATACAGACCATGTGTTTGAAAGATAAAATTAACATAGAACTGTGTGTTTATAGTATTACAAACAGAGCGTTTTCTAATTTTTCTCTTAAGTTACTTTTCCATTTTAATTTTAGTTCATAAACTTCTGGTTGACTTGTTTTGAGTGAACATCGTGTGACACTAGGCTTTACTCCTGTCATTTTATTTGGGGCTTGGGGTATACTAAGGGCTGGAGGGGAAAGAGGAAATTGTGTTCTAAGAGTATTAATAGTTCTAGGCTCAAATACAAGCCCACTAAATTTTTAAAATTTAAATATTATAATTGTTTTCTTTTGTAAAGGCGCTGCTCATTTTACAACTATTTCAAACGGGCCAGATTCGGCCTGCGGGCCGTAGTTTGCCCACGGCTGTTCTAGGCTCAAATACAAGCCCACTAAATTTTTAAAATTTAAATATTATAATTGTTTTCTTTTGTAAAGGTGCTGCTCATTTTACAACTTTTGAAAAGTACAGATAAAAGGAAAAGAATTACTTATTCCCAGGAATGAAAACTAATTTCTCCAAATATAAACATAGCACACATAATAATAGGGTGTGGAGTTTCTTTACACCAGTGTATGACTTTTCCCTCTGCATTAAGAAAAGAAAACAAGACTTTGAAATACAGGAAACAGGACATTTGGCAACCTAGCTACCCAGGGAAGATGGGTTCACAGTTCCCAAGTTAGGTGCTTTTCCCTAAATACTGAAAGAAGAGCATGAGTTTCCATATTTCATAACATGCCCATGGGAAGCAAATTACTTGATAATGAGAGAGCTAGCTCATTTCAGTTCTCCTGTCTGCAGGATAATCAATAAAACACTACTGGGGGAAAGCACACACAAATAAGAGTGGGCAACCCAAAGGCCTCCTCACCAAGCACGAAGGCAGGACACTGTCTTCTCATCACTGTACAGCCAGCAGCTAGCACAGGACACAGCATGTATTCAAAGGACAGATTGAGAAAAGTAAAGTCTCAATCTGCCCTCTCAGGATCCAAGAGTAAAGTCCCATCTCTACCACAGCATCACACTGGCCCGGTGGGAGGAGCTATTTGGCGATCCTAGGGACAAGCGATGTTCAGCGAGGTCCTCCATAGTCCCCTATAAAGATTCCCTTCAATCCTGCATGTCACAGACCAGCCAGGGCCATCTCAGAGTGACTGCCCGACTGCTAGTACTCCCATTGTTCTGTCTCCTTCCACTTTCAGGCTTTTGGGGGGCTGTAAGCCTGGAAAGAATCACTATGCTTTCTGAGTTCTTAATGCTTTTCTACAGGAGAGAAAGCTCCAGATGGACTGGGCCGCAAAGCGAACTAGAGTTGCCGGGGAACTCTTACAGAGTGAGAGAAAATACGTGCAGATGCTGGAAATTGTGAGAGATGTTTATGTTGCACCACTAAGAGCAGCGCTGTCCTCAAACAGAGCAATTCTGAGTGCTGCAAACCTCCAGATCATTTTCTCTGATATCCTGCAGGTTTTAAGTCTCAACAGGTAATTCCTGAATACGTATTTTCTGAAATACTCACTGTGCAGTGGGAGGAACCCACACTTACCTGACCGAGGCTCAGGCAGTCTCTGCCTCTCCTGGGGACCCTGATTATTGCACAGAAGAAAGAATTTTTGCCACTGGGCTGCAACCAGTAGTGATGATCCCTGATCCCTGCCTCAGTTCAAACCCCTGGTACTAGGAGTGGAGGTCAGTGCCAGGCGGTTTTGTAGTCAACATATTGCTCATGCAAAAGACAAGACAGTATGTTTAGTTGAGCAATGGGAAAGAAACCGAAGGATTTGAAGGGACTAAGTTACTAGGATATTTTGCTTGGAGAACCCATGGTCAGCTTAATAACAGTAGATGTTTTGAGAATGTCATAGGACACAGAGGAAGTGATCATTTGATCTGTGGTAAAGACAAACTAAGCTTGTGGCTCTCTGCCAGTAACCTTCCAGAAGAAGCATGTCAAACTCAAAGGCTAACACGGGTCAAATAAACAAGGTTTAAGTCTATGTGGGTCGAAAAAAAACAAAAGCTTCAATTTTCATAGAAATGTAGGTTTATTTCAATAGAGACATGCTGAATACAAAGGGCTGAAATAAATGAGTAACTGTTAACATAAAATAATAGAACATTTTAATAAAAATTAATCTTTTTTCTTAAACATTAACTTACCAGAACTGAATAACTGCACAAATTAATAAGCGTAACGCAAATAAGCCTATTTTTCTTGTTCTCCAAAAGCAAAGTATTTCCTGTTGCGCACACCAAACAAGTCAGTCCAAGACTAATGACTTGGCCAGCGGCTGCTAAAATATTTGCTGCTAGTATTAGTGGAGAGAAATGGTGTGCCTGCGCGTAAGGCGCGTAAGGGAAATGAATGCAACACGATTATAGTAATCAGTCATTAGCAAACATTGTAGTTTGTTATTAATAATTATGTATAACAGGATATTGTAAAAATTAAGCTAGGAAATTTTTATTAAACCATTTCTTACATACTGTTATATTGGCTGGGCCGCGAGTTTGACATGCTTGTTCCAGATGACTGGGAACAAGTTCCTTACCTTCCCTGGGCACAACTCCTACAAAATAAAGAGGTTGAACGGGGCCTGTTCTGTTTTCAAGGCCTGTGATGGCTGAATGAAGGACAACCTTAGATCCACAGGGAAATGGCCTGAGGGAAGATTATGGCCATTTAAAATGAATTGAGCACTCTGCTCTGGGGACTGTAAGAAACCTTCCTTGCCTGCCTGGCCGTGTGGGAATGGGAGAGTCAGGGGCAGCCTATGGAGGCCAGCGTGGGGTTCAGCCTCAAGGGATTAAGGTGAGGAGGTGGGATTCCCCCACAGTCAGCCTAGTTCCTCCCTTCCCAGCTCCTCCTGTCCTGTCGAATCTGTACGGCTCTGTATTAGCACAAAAGTATGTGACAAAAGCCCAACCATAAAATGACTAGGCTGAAGCAAGCAGCAAACTGATTCATTTGTTAAGTTTATAGGTTATCACTGGCCAATATTTCATGGCCATGCTTTTCCCGTCTTGCAGGCAGTTTCTAGATAACCTGAGAGACAGACTACAGGAATGGGGCCCAGCTCACTGTGTGGGAGAAATATTCTTAAAGTTTGGAAGCCAGCTGAACACATACACCAATTTCTTCAACAATTACCCTGTTGTTCTGAAAACCATTGAGAAGGTAAATGATTGAGTTACCATCCAGGCATTTATGAGACCTGAACTTGAAAGGAAGTGCTGTGTGCAATCCAAAGAACTAAGACTAATAGGGCTTGGCTTCCAGACCCAGGCCTCCAGTTTACTGTGTTCGCTGAGGACGGGGACCTGACATTTAATTTTGTGTCATGAGGGGCTAGCACAGTGCTTGACAAAGCAGGGCCCAGAAACTGGTTGTTGGACTGAACTAATCCTCATGCAAATTGCCAGACTTCCATTAGCTGCAGGTACCCTGTGGGTCACTTACAGGCAAGTGTTTAACTGTTAGATACAGTGGAGCCCGTGAGCTCCAATCCCACTCTGCCCCCACAGACCTGTGTGACCTTGACAAAGGTGGCTGTCTTATAAAGAAAAGAAATTAATTGTCCATGTTTCTTGGGGTAAGGCTACTCAATTTGTGAAATTTCACTATGCATAAGGAATTTCTTTGTTGTACATTTCTCAGAAAGTCCATTGTGACTTGTGCCATCTGTAGTTGAGCAGGAATATTCGCTTCCCTCTGCATCCCTTGCTGTTCTGGTTGGGATCTCTTCTAACGGCAGTAAGAGCTCTTTCTTCCCTCCTCAATTTGTATCAGAAGTGTAGCCGTACCTTGCGACTTGGGGCACACTTCTGCCAGTGGCCGCTTTGGCTGTGTCCCCCTGGTTGCACGGAGCCCCCCGGGGCCATGTCCTGACCTTGAGCACCTCCCTTTATGGTACACCTTCACCCTGCCCAGAGAGTTTAACACTGCTAGACATACTAATTATGTACTGGATGAAAATTGCACGAATAAGGCAATTTCATAGAACTGACCATGAGGACAAGAATTGGAGTAAAGTGTGACATATTATCAGAAACAGATTGGTGCCAAATTTTTTATAGTTGTGGATAATAATGATATCTGGTTCACTAAAATAGGGTGTGCATTTAAATACTCAATAACTGTTAGCTATTACTCTTATTGAAATCAGTCAGTATTTATTTGATTTCTAGGAATTAGCAATTCTGGCATCTTTTAGGCATGTCCCCACTGAGAAAAATGGGTACTTCCTGGGCACTTTGCTGGTGATGAATGAATACACTTTAAAGCAGATGTTAAATACAATGGAACACCTTTATAATGATTAGCAGCAGGTATTATAGGTGAATACCATCAATTGTCTTTTACTACAAGGAAATAACACTTACTGTGCAACAGGCATGTTGTGGACAGGATTTATTTTTCCTTCACAAGTGTTAGGTATGATATCCATGAGGAAACTGAGGCTCGGGGAGTTAGGTAACTTAACAAGTTCACAAAGAATGAGGTAGAATTCTAATTCTAATCCAGGCCTCCCTGGTTGCAAAGTCTGTTTTCATTTGTCAACACTGATTAAGTTCAATGAATAGGGTTATCTCTATGGTATGAATAAATCACTATACTTAGTACATTATATTAGTAAGTACTAATAGTACTTTGACTAGAAGTAGATGTTGCCCTCTTGCTTTGAGAGCTTCATAGATCATGTCTGCCCGGTGTAACAGAATGCTTTACAACTGTCGCACGGAGCGAAGTTTTGACAATATTATGCTCACCTTTAGTGCAGAGAGATGGTACCAGCATTCCGAGCTTTCCTGAAGAGGCATGATAAAACCATTGTCACCAAAATGCTGAGGTAAGTTCTGAGGGAGAGCACAGCTGAGGCACCCCGAAGGCAGGGCCTTCTTTGACCTTCGGAAAGAGACCAGGTTCCCTTCTCTATGCCCCACACAGCCTGCCGGAGCTGCTCCTGTACCCGTCCCGAAGATTTGATGAGTATGTTCATCTTCTCTATGCTCTGAGGCTTCATACTCCTGCAGAACATGCCGACCGTGGGGACTTGACCACTGCAATTGACCAAATGAAAACATATAAAGGTTATATAGATCAGGTTGGTTGCTGACAAGTGTCTGTGTCCTTTAAAAATGCCACAATGCTTTTTTGGTAGTCTCACTCAAATTCTTCAGCCTTTGAATGTGAAATCGTTGTGTTCAGAGACTTGGAGCACTACAGGCATCTATTTTAAACCAAGCAACATGAGACAGAATGTTTTCAGATAACTATACAAGTACAAGAAAAGCTTTATTAATATGAAAGTGTGAAGAATGGGGTATTTGGATTGATTTTTCTAGAGGACTAAAAGAAAAAAGTAAAATCCTTTTTTGCTGAAAGAACTTAATGTATGAGATTTCCTGAACTAAGTCAGCATCTGAGTGTGGTACTATCGCTCTGAACAATTTTTGTGATGAGCACTCTGCACGGGTCCAGGCTGAGTGTAAACTGATGACATATTCTGCCCAGAAGATGCTTTTTGAATACAGTCTTGTCATTTGCCTCTTTGTTTTAAAACACTGGGTCTATGAAATTAGATTCTTATTATAATGTATGGAAATAGCAAGCCCTGTATCAAGTGCCATTTATGTTTACACATTTCACAATTTTATTTCCCTTAAAATCACTTTGTTTTCTAGATGAAGCAAAACATCAATATGAAAGATCAGCTGTCAGACATACAGAGAATCATCTGGGGGTGCCCTGTACGTATTCTGATGTACTTGCTACATCTCATGCTCATGGATAAAACCTCATATCATTGGCAACAGGAGACATTCAGATATCCAATCAGCTAACCTCTGTTGAATGCCTGCTGTGTGTCTGGTGCTGCCAAGCCCTCACATTTCACATCCTTCTATCTGCAAGGATGCTAAGTGGGCTTGACCCCATCCCTTAGCTCCTTTCTTGGTACTACTGTGATCATGACCCCCTCTGAAGAAAGGGCCATGTATTCTATTGCTTCATATTTCTCTATGCAGAGTACCTGGTTAGGATCTTGCACACTGAGGATACCTGAAAAATCTTAGAAGCCCTCTGTTGGCTGTCACCTACAGAATATCACCTGGTCCCATTCTACCTTTTCTTTTACTGCCTTGCCTACCACTTTATGAGCCAACCATACAGATCTACTCATGATTCTCCAGTAATGTTAGCCTCTCCTCACACAGTTGTGCTTTGTCCATACTCTTTCTTGAAAATAACCTTCTTTCCTACCCTGCTGGATAAACTCCTATTCATCCTTTACAAATCCAGTTCAATCATCATCTTCCTGTAGTTGCTCCCACCATCTCCTGCTGGGAATTGCCCCTTTCTGGGTCTCCTGCAAGACCTTGAACATCTGTCACATTTTATTACAATCCTTTATTCACCAGACTGGGAACTCTATCAGGTGTGAGCTACGTTTTACTTGTCTTCTAGTGCTTGGCATATAACAGGAGCTCGATACATGAATTATATTGAATTAAATTATTAATTGATTGGAGATGTTATTTTTATTTGGTCAAATTGGGGAAGCAAGATGGAGTTATTTTGTTGTAACTTAGATCTGCATATTTTGGTAGGGAAAATGAAGTGGAGTTGATTGAAATACAAAAAGTTCAAAATCTTGGAACTCACAGAGCCCATGGAACTTCATCTCTAGATGACTGTTCACACCAAGTGACCATCTCCATGGCTACCATACATCAGGGCAAAGGCCTGACTTCTTAATTTGTAACAATTCATTCCCTTCCTTTTCTTGATAGTTTACTTCTTATTCACCCCACTTCCACTTTATTTTTGATGCTAAGAAAATGTTTATAAATAAAACAATTTCAGTAGCTTAAGAAATTAGACAACACCCTAAAATAAAGTTTTCATTGTTAATTCTGTGGTCTTTATCTAAAGAATGCCTATTTTATAAACAAAATCATTGGCTTTTTTATAATTGAACTGAGTTCTACTCAACACTTGCATATTCTGGGATACAAAATGGTTCTGCAGTAGTGGGCCTTTTATTTTCTAAAAATGTATGTATGTTTCTAATTTTTTTTTATTTCATAGATTCTATCAGAAGTAAACAGATATCTGATTAGAGTCCAAGATGTAGCCCAACTTCACTGCTGTGATGAGGAAATAAGTTTCTATTTAAGGTAAACATCTAACTATCTTGCAGCTGTCACTGTGTCTTACTCACACCCTGTATCCTGTACAATGTCTGACATAGTATATGTTTACGATAATCTGTGTGTTGAACTGAAAAGTTACACACACCCCTCTGAGATGCTTTATCACCTTACGTGAATTCCAGGCAGCTACTGGGCAAATGGGAGAAAATAAATAGTTTCTGCCAGGACCATGAACTACACAGAAACAGAAATTCTAAAGTTAGTCACTTCCCTACTGAGAGATGATCCAAGTGTTGTGGGATAGCACACGTATGATCTGCTTAACTATAAGAAAGAGAACACCAGTTTATCCTCATATTTACTGTGGTCAGTATTTAAAAGGTCTCACCATAAGATCACCATGATATTGCGGTCTCACCATATCTAGTTTGCACACTGCTCAGAGTAATGTAAGAACAAAAGATGGGAGGGTGTCAATTTCCATAAACTAGCATCCAATTTTCTCCTGTGGAACAAAGATGGGCAATTTCTGTAAAGGGTCAGCTAGTAAACATGTAAGTCTTGCTGGCCAAATAATCTCTGTGGCAACTACCTAACTTAGTCATTGAAGCACAAAGGCAGTTATATAACCAATATAACACATAACAAACACCATCTTTATAAACAATATAATACATAAATGAGTGTTGCTGGGTTCCAATAGAACTTCATTTACAAAAACAAGTGGTGGGGGTGCCTGGCTGGCGTGGCTCAGTGGTTGAGCCTCAACCTACGAACAAGGAGGTCACAGTTCAATTCCTGGTCAGGGCACATGCCTGGATTTTGGGCTCAATCCCCAGTAGGGAGCATGCAGGAGGCAGCCTATCAATGATTCTTTCTCATCATTGGTGTTTCTGTCTCTCTCTCCCTCTCCCTTCCTCTCTGAAATAAATAAAAAAAAATATATTTTAAACACACACACACACACACACACACACACACACTCCCACACCCACAAGTGGTGGGGCCAGTCTCAAACAAGTGGTGGGGCAAGAATATGGATGGAGTTCTTTTGCCTATTTGAAGTGGCCTTTCACTGCATATCACCCATCACACATACTTGAAATGCACCCTCTTTCTTGCTTCCTTTCTTTTATACTTAGTTCTATTTGATCCATTATTGTCAATTATCTAGATCAACTTGATCTAGAACATTATTTCTTGTAAGATATCAGTGTATGTGCAGCAACCCACTCCTTCCAGCTAGAGTCATAACCAGAAATGGGAAGGAAATATATGAGAGTTGGCTCTAGGGATTGGATGACTATGTCTACCTATTCATGCAACTAACACGACCTGAACTCCTAACACTTGTCCAATAGCTGAACCTGAGGTATAGTACTCTTTAGAAACGTTGAGCTCCCTGATCCAGTCATCTGCCCAGATTACAGAATGGTTGTAACTGGTAAGTGCCTCACTACTCAGTATGGCCTGCTTACCAACATACCCAGGGCGCTTTAGAAATAGTCTCAGGCTACTCTAGCTCTATTAAATCAGAATTTGCATTTTAACAAAATCTTTAAGTAATTCAAATGCACATTAAAATTTGTACTATGTACAAGTCAGAGACATTTGTCACATGAAGTAGACTCTAAATATGAAATTTAGCAGCTTCTATGGAGAACAATCTGGAAGTCTTTGATTAAAATGAATACACCCTTTCAGCAATCAATCCTACCCTTGGCAATCCTATGATAGAATAGCACATATAAGAAATTTGTTTCTATGTAAGGATCAGTTTATTCCAACATTGCTCAGAGTGGCAATAAAGAACAAGTGAAAGGAGAGGAAGGGAGGAGACCCAAACCTGTCAACAAAGCAAATGTCCATCAAAAAGGGATGAGTTGAATAAATAATGGTCTATCTACACCAGTGGTTCTCAGCCTTCCTAATGCCGCGACCCTTTAATACAGTTCCTCATATTGTGGTGACCCCCAACCATAAAATTATTTTCGTTGCTACTTCATAACTGTAATTTTGCTACTGTTAATGAATTGTAATGTAAATATCTGATATGCAGGATATATTTTCATTGTTACACATTGAACATAATTAAAGCATAGTGATTAATCACAAAAACAATATGTAATTATATATGTGTTTTCCGATGGTCTTAGGCGACCCCTGTGAAAGGGTC